GTTGAGACTAAAAAAACCTTTTTTCTACAGATATTTAATAATGTATCTTTCCTAAGAACATCTTTCATAAGAAATGAGCACCTAAATTTATACCTTTATTCACCGTTCTATATTTCAATACTGCAATCACCACCTCCAGAATCACCTTACTCACTGTATGCATAGATAACTTTTTCAACTAAAAATATGACTAAAATGACATTACTCAAAAATGTTGAAATTGGAGTTGGCCATTCTGTGGTTTATAAAAGCAAAGAAAGTTGGAAGCAGATGGAGTGACGAAATTTTTATTGCCTACCGTCGATATACTAAATAGACATTTTGTAATTATAATGAATGGTCTTAATGATTGTTATCTGTAAGCTTTAAGCTTTATCTCCGTTTAAAATGCACTTCAAAAAATTTTATAATAACCCAGCATTGCCAGAAAATAATTTTTATTCCAAGTAGAGCAGTAAGTGAAAGTTATGTGTTGCGCGCACCAGATTTTCTTTTTAAGTCCCAGGAGAGGGTGAAAGCAATATGAAGAATATGTGCAGCAATAAATTGCCGTTTCCCTGAATTAAACATATCATTTACCATTACAGATTTTCAGAGGTTGGTCTATACTAAAATATGAACAGATGCTTATTTACTATATATCATTTCCATGTTTCAACATTTTCCAAATCAAATTCAATTTTGAATTTATATAAACTGAAGTCAAATATGAGTCAATTATCTGTTATATCGGCAAAATTCCTTAAAGTTAAACTAACTTGAAAGTTTAATTCGAAAAGAAAACGCTGCAAATCATTTCACAATGGTTTATTATTTCCAAACAATTATACATCTAAAGTAACATTACCTTCCTAGTGACAAAGAAAAAGAAACAAAAGGTTCCAATTATTGGACTAAATATTTTTTTTTTAATCATTAGTAATATGCTAAAAAAAATAGCATTACTTCTGTAACACATTCAAAAATCAAAAACCAAAACAAAGGATACATATCCTTTGCAGTAGAACATATAAAAAACATCTAGAGACCATATCTTTGCTCCTAATTGTCCGCTTTTAACAATTCTTTTTTTATATTTTTTAGGAAATTTCGTAAACTTTTAAACAGCCATATCGACAAAAAAGTGTATACTTTTTGAGTTATTCGGGATCTAATTTTGCCATCCCTCGTATCTTTTTTTGCAGCTTCTTTTCGTTGAAGTGTGTTATATAGATAAATTTAAAGGGCGTCGAGAAGAAGTGAAGTTTCATTGAAATAGGTACATTCGTTTAGGCGCTACAGCCTATAGCAAAGCAGGTTTTTCGGTAGCCATCTTGAAAGGAAGAGGTGGATAGAAATGTCGATGAAGGAGGATCATCCCTAGGTGACCTCTAATTCTAAATACAAATTTGAAAAAAAAATAGGTCCAGTAGTTTCGGAGAAAATGCGCGGACGGCGGACGCTGGACGGACAAAAAAATTTGTATTCGTTTTTCGATTTCTAGGTATTCTGAGACGTAAAACCACAAATTTTGAGAGGGAGTTAAGATTTTGAATTTTTTGTTCGATCAAAACGGCTCATTATGTAAAATAATAAACAAAATGTTGCATTTGGTTTGGAAAAAAGTTTAAATTTTCTTGGGAAATTGAATTCGACTTGCAAAAATTTGAATATGAATTTAAAATGATTTTATATATACACACACATTCATAGTATATCTATTAAATAATGAAAGTCGTGCTACGAAACATTTTATTTTGATTCCATAGATTTTTACTTTGTATTACCTTCAATATATACCCTTCCTCTATCGCTACAACGCTCCACGCGAATGATCTGTCAAAGTCAAATGATACATAATCAATATCTTGCCATAAAAAGGCTGACATCACAACTTACTCACCCGATTTTGTTCTTATTCATCCAATGGTTTTGTGCTTATTCACCCAAAGAAAACGTATCAAGCAACTCAAATGTACTAATATAAAAAAAAAAAAAAAAAAAAACTGGGAGAATAAGAAATTTGTTGGATTTGAGATTAGTCTCTAAGGTTCCGAACCATATACCTGAAAATTTATTTTATTTTAAATGAGTTAGATCTCAAGGGGGAGAACACCATCTTGAGATCCAGCGAGTCTCTTCAAAAAGGTAAAGGAAATTCTTTTGCTCCCTCACAATCGAAGGTAGAGAATCATTGTATTCACGCGGGAGGTTAAACAAAATTTTGTTCTTTACACTCCCGTTTCACGTTTCAATTATCAAGGATCAAATTTGGTTCGGTCTGTAGTCAAGCAGATGTGACGGATATATCACCTACTGCCGTTTATCCGATTTTAATGAAATTTTCAGGGATTGTACGCATTGGTGCCTAGATTGTTGCGTATTAATTTCATTAAATTCCAAATATTAATTTCGGTTGCGCACGCGCAAATGTACTTTCTTAGGCATGCCGATATTTCAAAAACGGCTCGATCGATGACGCTCAAAGTTAAAAGAAAAGTGGGAATTGGTACAATAATGATGCTGTATCCATTTCATTGAATTCCGTACAACAATTGCGGTTGTGCTAGCGAAAACATATTTTCTTAGGTCTATCAGAAACAGATTTCAGAAATACCTCGTTTGATTTGGCTCAGCGTTGAAAAAAAAGTAAACTAATGATTGTAAAGTGGTGTGCGGTTTGGTGCCTAGATTATTGCATACTAATTTCATTAAATTCCAAAAATTAATTTCGGTTGCGAACGCGCAAATGAATTGCCTTAGATATGCCGATATTTCATAAACGGATCATCCGATTTTGCTCAAATTTAAAAGTAAGATTGGTACATAATATTGGTATACAACATAATAATGCTGTATCGATTTCATTTAATTCTGTGCAGTACTTCTGGCTGCGCAAGCGCAAATGAGTTTCTAAGAAATGCCGATATTTCAGAAACGACGCGTTTTATTTGGCTCAATGCAAGGAGAAAGGTGAGAATAACCAAAAGTAGTAGACCTTGATATATAGGTTAGTTTGGAACCAATGAAAATGGTGAGGAAGCTATACTGGCCTCACATGGCAGACATTTTTTGTTTAAGTGTTGATTAAGAGGCAGTGCTTCCTTACTAACGATAAATAGTGATTTTTTTTTTATGAGGGGTACAAGTTAATTCCGAATTTTTATAATTACCGCATTGTTTAGCATCGAAAAAAGGTTAGGGACCAGCCAAGACGAAGCGGCAAGATGAAACACTCGAGAGAAGAAAAGCAATCCCAGAAGGTTCCAGGGCAGGCTCCGTGATAAATCACCTGATGGATGTAAAACTTTTATAATACGGACGATGGTAAATGATGACGGCCCGGCCATCTATCATCTATCATTATACAACTGTTTCTTTGCGGCGGCGCAAGTCAAACACGTCACTGTCTCCCCTAATGACTCCCGCCTCATTAATGACGTAATCCATCATCCACGTCATCAGTCAATGTGCCCCGGGTCGGGAATCGATACAGGGAGCACTCTCTTTTTTTCATCTCAACGGTGTCTTCATTGAGGCACATCTCTTGAGAGCATCTCTTCTTTTTTTTTTTCGTTTTTGTCGAGGAAGTACTTCAAGGCGCCGGGCCATGTGTTCGGTCTAGCATGTGCCCACTCTTCAGGGTCTATCTGAGGTACCCACTATCACCTCCCTCCATTAGCTTTGGAGAAAAAAAATGTTCACAATTAAAATATTAAAAATCTATTAGGTACTTCAGTCAAGAGATAGGCTCAAAATAGCTGAATAGACGTAACTAAAAGTGAACATAAAAACAAAAATACAGGGTAACATAACATAAATAAATCTTTGTAGAAGATAGACTATAGAAGTCAGATCTTTAATTTTTTTTTTTTACTTTTTAAGGCGTTCTTGTTAGGATGCCTGCACCAGTTGACAGCTACTAATCAGTGGCACAGACCCCGTTTTATCGAATTATTAACATCCGCCTGAAGCTTCGTAAATGGATTCATCTCATCGTAATCTACAACTATTTCATTTACGAAAACTCTTGGAATTGGGCGTTATTAATCTGGAGGGGGCAAATTTTATCTTCTTAATTAGGTATTAAAAACTCATAATTAGGTCGTAAAAACTGGTAGCCAACAAAAATATTGGGCAGTTTGTCCTATACAACGTCGTTATTTTGAAAATTTGAGGGTGTTAGTCACGCCAAACGGCTCAATATTTTTGAAGGCCACATTTTTTCTCGATTTTGTGATCAAATTATCTTACGATCCAAGTAGAAAGCAAATGAGTATTTACGAGTTTTTAGTATCTAATTAAATAGACAAAGTTTGCACCCCTCCAGATTGAAAACGCCATAATTCCAAGAGTTTTCGTAAATAAAATCGTTTTAGGTTACGATGAGATGAATCTATATACGAAGTTTCAGGCGGATGTTAATAATTCGATAAAAACGGGTCTGTACCACGGACTCTACATTTTTAAAATAAATCATGGAAAACTTCAATAAAATTCAATTGAAAAAAAAAATGTTTTAAACTATTTCCCTATTATTCTTGAGCGTTATAGTTACATTTTTTGCAACTACGCAGTAAAATATTTTTTCCCTTCAGACTTAGCGTTTTTAGCAATACAATAGATATCAAGTTTAAAAAGCTTCATTTTTTTTTTAGATAGCTTTAGGTCACTTAATATGCGACGTTTCAAAGAAATGTTTTCGTTTCATAACCATACTCTAACCCTTTTAGGTTGATCGAACTGAACGCTAAAAATTTAGTATCTAGGTTTGTCAATCAAGAATACGACTTCGTTTTTAATAAGTAACTGAGTACATCAACATAAAACAGTCTATATTTCCATAACTCTAACTTCTATAAATAACAACGATAATATATCAATTTGATTTCTACAACGTGAAGTAAGTAAGTTAGAAAAGTCGGATATTCAGTGCCTACTAGAGTTATCATTCTCGAATATCACCAATACAGAAAAAAAGTCGAGCCATTTTGGAGAAGGATATAGATCGGAGCCCATACCAATGCCACCAGAATCGACATTGAGCGAAAGCAGGATCCTGAGTTACTATATCCAATAACAGTCGACAGCACTCCCCGAGGTAACATAAAGAACCCGTAGCTGGATTAGGATCGAGATAAATTGGAGAACTGTAGCCAATATATATTATTTATACCTGGGTCAGATAGTAGAGGGTGGGATGCATTGCAACATGCTTCAAAGATACAACTCGGGTATATGTCTTCCTGTATCGAAAGCGGTTTTATATCGATGGAGTGGGAGTCTGTGGGCATTTCTGAGTCGATGATCAGGTTTTATGGTGTCGTTTTTATACTTAAAACAGAAGCAGCAGAATATAATTATCATAGGTATAAAATTATAACTAGTATGTTAGGTACTCTTTGTTAGTGGTATATTTATTTACTATCGTACACTTTCCGAAAAACATTGATACATTCAGAAGAGAAAAATAATGATCAAATCACTATTGTATAAGATATTTAACTTTTCTGAATGTACGATGATTTCCGATTGCGGTTCCAAGAATGGTCATCGCAGCTTCTCATCCGCGACATAATATATCATAAACTTGAATGCATAAAATTAAAATCAATTCAAATAAATTATCTTTATTCATTAAGTTTAATCCATTATAGCCAACAGTTTATTTTTGTAATTTTCTACTTTTAATTTCGTTTTGAAAATATCATAACACGGAATCCAGATTGAACAATATTGAATCAAGAAATTACTTCAGGACTTTGACTACTTCGACGCTTGACAAAACATCATAATAGCCAACTTAGTTAGTAAGTAACCAAGAAGTCAACATTACAGTTTGGACATACAGAGCTGAGCACTCAGATAATTTCAATGCTCCTCACATGTCATTCCTAACAAACAAAAAAAAGGAATAAAGGCATCAGGTCTCTCCAACTCCCATAACCCAATTTCATTAGCTAATATTCTTTGGGTATACATTTTTCCAGATACAATAGCCAAGCTCCCTTGGGAAAAAAAAAAACTTTTAATATCAGTTCTGTGACAAATTGTAATATTTCTGAATAAAGTGTTTAATAATAATAAAAAAAAAATATCAGTTATCAAGCTCATGGAAATCTTCATTCGAGTTGTGCGACTTTACACCAATTATTTTACTTTTATGAAGCGGCTTTTCTCATACTTGTTTGATGGTTAACGAAGTTTACTTTAAAAAAAAAATTACAATGTGACGATTTGGTGTAGATATTTTGCATCCTAATTATTAATTATTAATCAACTTAAACTCTTCCTGATGACTTTATTTAAGAATGTTAAACTTGAATAATGAAAAAAAAAATCATTAGAATTATTTTATATCCCCATGTCACACAATAGACTATTGAAGCTAATGGGTTTTTTCTCGACTTTTTAAAAATGACAAATGTTACTCTTTGATATGAAGCTATTTAGTACAAGTTGTCGTATGTGTAAATTGACTTTTTTTACAATAGAGCGAACAACTGATTATTTCTTTATGATTTATTAGTATAATTTTATATTTTATTTCCTTCTTCTATTCCCCTAAATAGTAGACTACTTGTAGCAGTTAGGCACTACAAAAAGTCACCTTTAGCAGAAATAGAATAAGCATGAAAAATTGTTACATACGATCTTTTACACAAGCAGTACCAATGTTTTTTTTTTTTTTTCCAAGCCGATCTATTTTTTTGGGCCTTTAACTGGATCAATCGATATTGTTAAGTTTATACCGCTTGACAAACAATTAAAAAAAATCTTATGATCGCTAATATCTACAAATTTCTTTTATTTATTTACTTCTAAATGCTTAGGAAAATAAATTATTTGATATAAAACTATTTGGAAACAATAAAACATCTTGTAATAATTTGCAGCGTTTTTGTTTCCGCAAAGTATAGCATGAAAAAAAATTGTTCGTAAATACTTGCTGCTAGATTTTTTAACATCAGACGGGAAGTAATTTGTTTTATGGCAGGAAAACAACAAAACTTGATTTATTTTTCTAACAGATATAGTCAATAGATACATGAATTTACAGATCTCTTTACTTTTTTATCAGTATTACTAAATATATTCCTCTATCTACTGGTATTGAGGAACGTCGGGTGAGTTTTTGGCGCCCGTGGCGAAATTATATCAGGCCCCCACTTACATTCGTCGAACTCGGCCAGTAATACATTGTCTCAGGTTTACGGGTTATATTTATTGCACTTTACTATATTTTTGAGCTTCCGTTTACGACCGACAAATCTCTAGCCGGCTAGTAATTTATCTAACAGCAACTGGAACTGAGATTACAAATAATTAATTCGCTAGTAATGTAAGATGATCAAAGCAAATATTAAAAGAAATTAATTAAAAAGTAGAAAGCTGATAGAGAGCGACTGCCCCACAACGGCCATGCTGGTATTGATAAATTCTGATTCATGGAATTACATTTAGAGATCATATTCTTTACCATAATCCATCAGTGGTGCATTTAATTTAATCGGCTCATTCACCTTATACGAGTATTCGCAATACGAAATCAACAGAGTATTGCGCTATGAAATATGTAATGCTGATAATAGATTATGAAATGACAATGTATTTCCATTTTATCTAATAATATGAGTAGATATTCCTAGTAGTTTAATACTATTATGTGACAGCATAGCAATTACTATAAACATCACCTTGTAAAATATGACGTGGATACATATCCCCATTCTGAAACAACCCGATATCTTAATTGACAATAGTTGTGTTTGCATGGAATCAAGGGTCGCTCTCCGTGTCAGGCCAACTAGCATTTAATTATCTTAACCGTGGAAACACATTAATACATCACCATCGTAAAGTATCTCCTGCCAAATACATTTACAAAGACATCCGCAGGGAGCAACCCACATGTCCACATGTTCATTTGTTCTTCAAGCAATTTGCGGCTGGAGCACTAGACAGTTGTGGAATGGTATCCAAAAGTTATTAATTACTGTAATTAAGCACCATCGAGTTATTACTGGCATACAGCTCCCTAACAAAGAGTTGATTAGGACAGAGACTCTCTGTTAATTAAACCTTCACTTGGTGTCAGATAATAGCAGTTAATTAAGAACTGAAGCCACCTGTTAAAGTTTCCCCACAGTCTACATGTTCCTTGTAACAATTAGGGTAATTATTATAATATGTTGTTTCCTGCATGAAAGTTGTAAAACAGTCTATATTGGTATAACAGAATGGAATACTGCTCCTATTGTCAGCAGTACTAAATGTATAAGACAAACAAGGATAGAACGAATAAAAAAAAAAAACATTAAAAATTGAAAACAACTTTTTCAAGACAAGGTGATTCTTATTCCATTCCTCATTAAATCACTTATAACAACAAAATTAATGAAGGAATGATTCATGATAGCAACTTATAGCTTATAATAGCCATTTATAGTTCTAAAAAAAATGATACATTGAAATAAAATGATATATTTAGATTTATTAAACTACCTCGTTTCTATAAATGCCGATTATAAATTTTTAAATCGGATAATTTTAAAGAACATACTAAAAAAAAAAAAATAAATAAACGATTGAAGACAAGATAACAGGTGATAACGATTATTTTAACTTTACAAAATATTCGATTTTTTTGTATTACTCTACGTGAAATATGTACCTGAAAAATATCTTTCAATCTTCGTTGGTCATTGTATCATGATTTTTAAGTTGACATGATAGATAATCCCTCATATTAGGATTATAATTAATTTTCTGAAGTCTTAAAAAGGATGTAGTAATGTCTCCTTGACGTTTCTCGACTAAAGATTACATAATAAAATGATATGAACAATATCTACGCTCAACCTCCAGGTTTCATATTTACCTAATGGAAGTCTAGCGACTCACTATATAGTAACTATTTTTTTTTTTTTCTGTTATGGAATTTTTACTATGAGGTTTTTCTCAAAATAAATATTAAGTAAAATATTATTCCAAAGGTCTCTATACAAGAATCGTTCCTCTCTTATGCCATGTCCCGCCAGGCATTATTCCACCTCATCTTTCCATTTTAAGTTAGTCCTTTTTTTCTTATAAAAAAGTTCATTTCCACCGTAAGTAATGGTATCTCGTATTTATTTTTTTTTTTGTTGAATCGTTGGACATGCGGAAATCCAAGTTTCCGAGGCATGTGTCTTTATAAGCTGGACTATAGAGATTAAAGATGGGGTAATCTGACCTCGGTAGTCTATGCAAAACCCATGTGTTCAGTAAAGAGCGTATGCTCTTAATGGTTGAAAATTTAGGTTGATAATGAAAAGTTGGGTTGTTGAGAATTATTTGTAAACGCTAACATCAAGCTTATGTGATTCATTTAAAATTTAAAAATACAAATCTTACATCATTGAACTTGGGTATTGGGTCCTGCCTCGTCATATAATCTTGAGAATCGTACCAATATTTCCTACCCTTCTTGCGCAAGGACGGTTTTCGGAATAATGATGGTATATGTGATAATTAAGCCATCGATAGTCCGCGGGCGTACTCCGTGGGAAAGCCGAGGACAGGCGGACTGACAGCCCGGCGCAGATGTTTATCACTCCTCCTCATTATACGGCAGTCCTCAATCAGCGGTCATGCATTATTCAGCCAGCGCCTGAAGCCGTCCGCGGGGCAGTGCCGAAAGGTCGGCTTTTTATGGTCCTCCGGCAGCCTCTGTCTTCGTAGCTCTCTTGTCACGGTCGGCTGTATTTACTGCTCTTCGTCATTGTCTGCTCGCCCGTCAATACCTACGTGCTTCATAAACTGTAATGCCAAGGAAGAAGAAATTGTTATTGCTAATGGGTTTCTTCAAGAGGTGAAAAACAAAATCCTTATCTTCTGGAACTTCGCACAATATTTATATGTTCCGTGAATGTTGTAATTATTCTGTAGTAAAAAATGAAAGTTAAATATTAGATTTTATTTTATAAGTAGTAAGAGTAAATATGTTGCGAAAACCTAATTTACAATTATATATTTAAGAATAGATACACACACTCTCTGTGATCCACGAGATGGAGTTATAGTTACTACCAGATATCCTTTCCAGGGGCATTTTACCAATTTACTACTTGTATCTAGGTGGTGGCATGCAGAGGAAATGAATTTTTAAAAATCATGTTTAAATTAAAAAAAAAAAGTCTACTTGTGAATTGAAAATTTAACAAACATTGGGAATATTACAATCAGAAAGCTGATATGGGCATAACTAATCAGTCCATTACTTCATTGATTGCCAACACAGATTTATATAAGT